TAGGTGGAGATGACTTAATATTTGAAATGTGTGTGTTTGTTCTCTCTATAGCTTTAAGAAAAAGTAGAAATCACTCCTGACTGTACTGCATAGCAAAAATTAAGTGACTTCCTATACTGCAAATCATGGCACTATCATTCCGGAAGGACTTAGAAAAGTACAAGGACCTAGATGAAGATGAGCTCCTTGGGAATCTATCAGAAACAGAACTGAAACAGCTGGAAACTGTTCTGGATGACCTTGACCCTGAGGTAGGTGGTAATGAAATAACTTTTCAAACCCTTTGAAACGAAGTAACTCCCTTTGAGCAGTTATCTTTCTCATGACTTTTCTCTGGCACTCCCTGCCCCTGCCATTCTCTCTTTATCCAAATGAACTTTTTGCCTCTTCTTAGTTCCCCCACTTCTGTCCCCATGGCTCCACTGACATGCCTGTTCTGAACTGTTTTCACCAAACCCTTATTCTCAAATTTCTGAAGTATATCCTGTAAGAAATTTTTTCTCGGGCCCCTGGGTGGCTCAGTCAGTTAAGCGTCTGCCTTCACCTCAGGTCATGATCCCAGGGTCCTGGCACTGAGTTCCGCATCAGGTTCCCTGCTCAGTAGGGAGTCTGCTTCTCCCTCCCCCTGCTCTTGTGCTCTTGTTTGCTCTCTCTCCCTCTCCCTCTCAAATAAATAAAATTAAAAAAAATTTTTTTCTCTCTGGGCAGGGAGGAACGTTTTTGATATAATGAAGCTCTTTGATGTATGCCAACCTCTCTGTCTCTTCAGAGCTTCTGTACTATGATGGCCCTGTGTAGAGTGTCTCTACAAGGTTCTTTGTGACCTTAAATCTAATTGTTACCTTTCTTAAACATGTTGACCAAATTGAATAAGTTTCTAGTCATTAGTAGACTAGATCTAAGTACTCAGCAATACTGCAATCCATGTGGAGCAGACCTGAATATACTATAAATGTTTTAATTTGCAGAGTGGGTGTTATTTGTCTTATAAATTACACAAGGCTAAGGTAGAGCCCCTTGACGCCTGAATTGTTATTCTCTGGTAGGTGGGGTGGGGAGGGGGTAGTCACTGACAGGAGAGAGCCCAAAGGTTATGGCTACTTAACCTGAAGGTAAGGGTTATTTGCTAGGCTTGTTTTTACTACATGTTTCTTTATGTTGAGACATTGATTTTTAGTGCCTTTTAAGAATTGAGGTAGGGCGCCTGGGTGGCTCAGTTGGTTAAGCG